ATTCTCTAGCCTTGTTCTTGCTTCTCTCTTGATCTTTCGCCCCCAACCTCTGGAACCCTCTCCTATCCATCCAACCTCATCAATCTATGGTCAATTCCTCCTTTCCCCCTCTCTCTTGCTCAGGGTCTGACCCAGTCTTTGTAAAGCGCTCTGAGACGTTATCCTGTGTGAAGGGTGCCATATAAAGCTAAGTTGTGGTTTGGCCACTCTTTTCGTGCCTTCAAAGTCCTCCACGACCTGGCCCCTCCCTTGCCTCCTTCAAGGCAAATCTCAAGACCCTCCTCATTTAACCATGCTTTCAGTGACCCTCCTACACCTACTCTCCACCCCTCCTGATCCCAACCACGTGCTCGAGCCCGGATGTCCTCCTGACATGAAAGGCGCTGTGTAAATGTAAGTTAATGTTGTTGCTGTCAGCCACCCCCTCCCCTTTCAGGTTTGTTTTAAACAACTCCTATTATGAGCAGAAAAACAACAAGAACAAAATGACATATGTATAGTGACTTTCACATCGGGGGGACAACCCAAGGAGCTGGATAATCAGTGCTTTGGACCCGAGCTTTGGGTCAGGATCCTGGAGGGTAGAGGGCAGGGGGGGTAAGGAGGGTGATCGAAGGCACGATTGAAGAGGAGGGTCTTGAGATGGGTCTGGAAGGAGGCATGGGAGGGGGCGAGGTGGAGAGTCTGTGGGAAGGAGTTCTAGAGGGGCTGAAGGCCTGCCCACCAATGGTGTGGCGGGTGAGGCAGGGGACGTGAAGCATGCCAGAGCCCCTGAGTGGAGGGAGGGACCGGTTGGTAGAGGATGAGGAGGTCACAGAGGTAGTGGGGAGCAAGGCTATGGAGAGATTTGAAAGTGAAGACCAGGATCTTGTATCCTCTGTGTGATGGGAAGCCAGTGGAGTCGGGCGAGCATGGGGGCAGCAGTCTCAGCCACGCCAATGTGCTAACACTCTAACACTGGCACTTCCACAATGTGCAAGATACTGCAAATAATAATAATAATCCTTGCATTTGACATAGCGCCTGATCACATCATTGAGTCGTCTCAAAGTGCCTCACAGAATATATTGTAAAGAGGATTGACTGTGTATTTTATGGGCAAAATGCCCCCAAAGCTAAAAGAACAAGTTATTCACAGAACTTTTAAAAAAGCCAAGATGTCAGGTACTGTGCCCTCTGCCCCAAAAACCACACCAGGATGACTGATGGGTTAGGCCAGCGAAAGTCATCATGAAATTCTCTGGTTGTATTCTCTATTTTCTTATCTACTGGTATTCAGCCCATTGTATTCAGAGAATGCTTTACATAAAGTAAATCTTTTAAGGTGACAGGACAGGTAGATAAAGCTGTTAAAAAGCATGAGTTATTACGCTTTATAAATAGGGGCAGAGAATACAAAAGTCAGGAAGTTATGATGAACCTTTATATAAAACACTGGTTAGGCCTCAGCGAGAGACTGTGTTCAGTTCTGGGCCCCACACGTTAGGAAGGATGTCAAGGCATTGGAGAGGGTGCAAAGGAGATTTACCAGGATGGCACCAGGAATGAGGGACTTCAGTTATCAGGAGGTGAGAGAAGCGAGGATTATTCTCCTTGGAGCAGAGAAGGTTAAGAGGAGACTCAATAAAAGTTTTCAAAATTATGAGGGGATTCGATAGGTTGAACAGGGAGAAACTATTTCTACTGGCAGATGGGTTGGTAACCCGAGGGCACCGATTTAAAATAGTTGTTAAAAGAGGGGAGGTGCGGAGAATTTTTTTTAAAAACACAGCGAGTTGTTCGGATCTAGAATGATTGCCTGAAAGGAAGCCGATTCAATAACAGCTTTTAAGAGGGTAGATAATTATTTGGGGAGGACAAGTTTGTAGGGCTATGGGGAGAGAGCGGGAGAGTGGGGTTGATTTGGAAGCTCTTTTCAAAAAGCGGCACAGACACAATGGGCCGAATGGCCTCCTTTTGTGCTGCATAATTCTATGACTATGATTACATAAGAACCTAAGAATTTGCTGGTGAAAGAAGACCAATGTCCATTCAGTTCACCTTCCACCATCCTGACAGTCGCATGACATGTCGTGTCCCAAACTATAATATTTCCTAACAGAAATCTATCTCATTTGTTCTTGAAACAAACACATTAAGAATTCTTCAGAGTGAAATTGTGCCGAGGAGAGCGAGAGACAGAGAAAGAGAAAGACCGTGTACGTGTCGACACACAAGCTTGAAAGCTTTTAAATGAGGACAGTAATGGAATTTGAAATATTTCGCAGACAAACACAATACCTCAAGAGCCGGCCACGCACGCTCACAGCTGCAGGTTACATCCGGCTATGCCTGTTTCAATCAGTTCAAAAGAAGGGAATTTGGGAATGCCATACGCACAATTCGGGAATAATTACAAAGCTTCTGCTTGCTAAAAATTTCTCCAAAGATTTTGGTAATTTTTTTAAACAAAGTAGCATCATTTCCAGAAGAGAGATTTACAGGTCCTGTGTCCCTCGCCTGGGAGGGCTGTTGCAATAAAACACCTGAGATTTGGAGCTCTGCCAACTAAGCTGTTTAGTGTTATCAGACAGCAGTCATGAAACCAGTTCTTTCATACCATTAATAAACAGTCACTTGAAAGTTCCTGCGCCGTGCGCTGGGCCACCCAGCTTTCAAGGGAATTATCCGGCAGTGGAGTCAGAATCGGATTACACTCTTTGCATTTTGCAATGCTCTTTCTCTCTCTCTCGTCAGTGGGACATCGCTGTGAATCCTCAGCTCCTATTTAACCCCAGCAGAAAGATATAAGCCTTTTCACCAAAGTTTCAACAACAACTTGCATTTATATAGAGCCCTCACGTAGGGTAGTGTCTCAGAGCACTTATAATATAATCCTTGTATTTGATATAGTGCCTTATCACGTCTTCGAGACGTCTCAAAGCATTTCACAGAATATACTGTAAAGTGTAGTGACTATTATTTTGTGGGATAAACGCGGCAGCCAATTGAGCACAGCGATGTCCCACAAACAGTCATGGATTGAGTGACCAGATCGTTTTTTTTTTTGAAGGGATGATTACCCCTGGAAAAGTGATCCGCCTATCAACAAACAACCGGGTTCCTATTTACTGCTAGAACAGAAGTGTGTGGAGTAGGGAAGCTTGCCTAAGGTTTCGCCCTGCCTGGGAATCAAATGATGATCCTCTCGCTTGAGAGGTGAGTGCTCTAACCAGAACGCAACAGACTTGTACCCTCTTTAGCTCCATCAATTAGTAAATGCCAAACGTGTTATGAGCCAAAGCGACACTTAGGTCCAGAACCAGGGCACGTTTAAAAATAACTCCTGCTGCTGTTTTCAAAATCTCTGATCCAGATGAGATAATCCCTAGAATTTTTGTTTCTGGGTGGCTATCTAGGTTACTTGTTCATTTCTCTTCCACACCTCTCCCCCAATCTTTTCTTTCTATTCCTTCCATTCCTTCCCATTTACTCCCGTCAGGTGTTTGTATTGTCCTTTGTTCATTTGGACAGCAAAATAAGATTTTTTTAAAAATCACTCATTTAGTCTAGGAACATAGACCATTCAGCCCGTCGAGCCTGTTCCTCCATTCTATAAGATCATGGCTGATCCTCAACTCCAATTACCATCCTCTGCCCCATATGCCTTGATACCCTGATCTAACAAATCTACCTCAGTCTAAATATTTAAGCTGCCCTTCAGACTACAAATGAACATTTTATTTAAAAAAAACCTGGCCAGATTCCAGACTACAACCCAGTGAAATCCTGGAAGTGAACCCTGACTAGTCAATACCTACCTCTTCGAACTCGCCTATGACCACTTCACCCTTCCCGGTACCTGCCCCAACCTTGTAAAGCATCTCCGAGACATTACTCTTACACAAAGGGCGCAATATAAATCTACTTGGTAGTACAAAGTATATTGCCTATCCGTAAGGTCAGCAAACGGACAGAGGGAGGAATTTTGACTATATTAGCTGATTGATTTGGAAAGTCACCAGTGAGTCAGTTTACTGCAATGTATAATATAATGTTCAAATTAAAACAGACTGCAAAAATAATAATAATTACTCAATCCATAACTGTTTGTGAGACACCGCTGTGCACAATGGGCTGCTGCGTTTCACCCACAAAATATAGTCAATTCACTTTACAGTGCACAACAACAACAAAATTACATTTACGTAGTGCAGGAGGAACGTCCCAACGTGCCAGGCAATCAGTGTTTTGGGTTAGGTGAAGCGCTTTGAGATATCTCAAAGATGTGATAATGTGCTCTACAAATGCAAGTATTATTATTTATTATATAAAAAAAACTGAGCACACTAGGGGATTGACCTAAGGTCCATTGTTTATACCAACAACAAATTACATTTGTATAGTGCCTTTCTTATCAGGAGGGCATCCCAAGGCTCTGGGCATACAGTTGTGTACTGGAAACAGGTGCTTCAATGACTGAAGAAAAGAAGGATTAATTTACATTGTACAGCACACACTGCCACGATTCAAGGGTTCTGATGGGCTATTTATTAACAAGCGCTTTGGAACTTCTTCCTAACATGAAAGACGCTATATAAATAAATTTTGGCGATGGTAATTCGATCAGAACTCTCTTAGAAACTTCACTAAATCTACCAGAACATTTTTTTGCTTACTATATTCTTGTACTCGATTTCTATTTGAGGTGTACAACACTGGGAAATAGATCAAGCTGTTTGTTAAAACAGAGTTCATGGCATTTTTGTAGAGAAAGATGGCATCTTATGACGGGGCAGTTATTTTTACCATTACTTAAAATTCTAGCTATACTTGTCTTTTATCCCCCAACTTGACAAAAAAGACATTTGGAAAAGTACAACGACCTCGCTCACTAACACACAAAAGTTAATTTCTTAATACACGAATATCCTCGAAAACCAAGAGTCACGGCGGCTACTTTTAAGCGCTTATATACTACTATTTTTTTTAAGCATTTGTCAAAGTCGTTTTCAACTCACCCTTTTGACTTTGTTTTTTAGCCATCTCGAAGTTTCAGATGTAGAGCTGAGGAGACGATTTTTTTGGGGGGAATGGGGTTGGGAGTAAGAGATTTTTTTAGGGGGGTTGGGGGGGGTATTTGAAACAGAAGATCAGCAATAACTCTTATCACTAATTTCCCACTGGAGGAGAGGCAGTTCTTGTCTGGATGTCTTCTTGGTAACTCCCTTTCTGCTAAGTCGGCAAACACTGAAATTCAATAATAATAAACAGGGGTTAGAGCTTTGTCCACCCACTGATTCCAGGTTATTTTTTCAATGAAAATCTTGCAAGATTACAAATCATTCCCCTTTCTTTCTCTCTCTCTCTCTGCATATTTTACAGGAATCTTTTTCCTAAAAAAAACACAAAACATAGGAGAAGTCTAATTACCAGTGTTCCCTCTCTCTCTCTCACTCTCTCTCTCTCCACTTCCCTCCTCCTCCCCCCCCACCCGCCACATACACACAATCCTTTCTTCTGAGAAGGTTGTGCAGAAAAGGGCCAGTGGGACAGTCTGTACTTTTTTTTTCGTCTCACAATTCCCTCCAGCAGCTTTCTCCCCTTTACACCCTCCCTCCCCCCTCGTCTCTCTCTCACACACTCACTCTATTCACACTGAATAAATCCAGGCAATTCTTCTCNTTTTTTTAAAACAAACAAAAGTGTTCCCAGTCTGAGGCCTCCCTTCTCCCCCTCTCCCCCACACCCCCCCAAGTCTGTGGCTCAGTCAACCCTCAGCCAACATCACCAGGTTCCCCCGGGGGCGGGCGGGGGGGGAGGCTGTGGCCCCCTCTAACCCTAGAGAGTGAGGGGGAAAGGGAGAGAGGGAAAGGGATCCCCCTCAGAAAACTCGCCTCACAAAGAGATTTTTAAAAAATATATTATTTTTCTCTCTTTCCCTCTCCTCACAGCCTGGAGGATGGAGAGAAGCTTCTATTCTTCTGCTGAAGGGTTTAACTCGCCCCCCTCTATACACATATATATCTATTGTAGGTATTTTTAAATAAAATATATTATAAACCGAGAGAAAGAGAACGCACACAGGTCGGGCGACGGTCAGCAGCCACTCTGAGGGACGGACAGGAGCGGGAGGGAACCGAACTCGCAGCCACCCGTCGCTCCCGCCTCTCTCGCTCCCGGACGTCACTTCCTGCCGGCGGCTGAGGAGGAGCCGAGCGATCCAGAAGCGCCTTCGGAACCCGCGGCCGAAGGGGCAGCGACGGCGCTCTTCACTCACCGCCGAGAATCGCCTCCCCCTCCAAAAAAAAGGCAGCCGAGGGTAGCGCACGAAGCTCGCCGGAAATAACCGAGGGCGGCCCGAATCGCCTTCGGGTTCCGCATGCGCAGAATGTGTGCGCGTGCGTGGAAGGTTAGACAAGGCGAGGGTGGCATTCACCGAACGAGGTCGCTGGAGAAAGCCGAGTGTTTCCGAGGTAGGCGGCCGGAGAGAGCCGAGTGTTTCCGAGGCAGGCGGCCGGAGAGAGCCGAGTGTTTCCGAGGCAGGCGGCCGGAGAGAGCCGAGTGTTTCCGAGATAGGCGGCCGGAGAGAGCCGAGTGTTTCCGAGGCAGGCGGCCGGAGAGAGCCGAGTTCAAACCTAACGGTTTTTAACGGTTTTTTGGGGTTCGGCGCCTGAGGTCGACGCTTCTCTCCGGTGACTGGGGCGGATTCTATATAATTACTCGTCGAAGGAATCTTATTCTGAGGGGAAATGTTGGCACAATCGCAATGAGACTCTTATTAGAAATGAATAGTAATTCGCTCACGTAATACACAGTCACTACACTTCACAGTATATACCTCGAGACATCTCAACGACGTGATCAGCGCTCTATCAAATGCAAGAATTACTATTGTTATTATAGTGACCCTCTTCTCAGAGCCTGGAATAGAGCGCATTGTTCTCGAGGAGCTTCCTCAGGGAAACGAACGGCTGTCAAGAGTAAGTGTCTGTGAAGTAATAATTAATAATAATTAATAATACTAATAGTCCTTTACATTTCCTACGGCGACTTTCACAGCCTTAAGACGTTTCGGAGCGCCTGACGAGAATTCACCATAAGGTGTTGTGACTGACAATAACATTAATAATGCGAATAATCCTTACATTTCGGAACCGCGTCTGCAGTTCACATTGGAAGAACGTGTCGGAGCGCCTCCCTGGGAGGTTCACGGTGAAGTGTAGTGACTGTGTGTTTTGCGGGCAAACACGTCAGCCGATTTGTGTGCCGCAGTGTCCCCACCAACAGCCAGCCAGCCAGGAAGCAGCTTTCATGATAATAATCCTTGCATTTGATATTGTTGTTGCAACAACAACAACAACAAAATGACATCTATAGAGCGCCTTTCACGTCGGGAGGATGTCCCAAAGCGCTGAACAGTCAGCTCAGGACCCGAGCATTGGGGGGAGGGGTGGTGTAGAGGTGAGGGAAGGCGGAGAGGTGGGAGGGAGACCAAAGGCACGGTTGAAGAGAAGGGTCTTGAGACCGGCCTTGAAGGAGGCGAGGGACGAAGCGAGGCGAAGGGACCTTATCACATCATCGAGATGTCTCAATATACTGTGGAGTGTAGTAACTGTGTTTTGCAGGAGAAACGCAGCAGCCAATTGTGCACAGCAGGGTCCCACAAACAGTCGTAGATAAGGTGACCACATTTTTTTTGAGGGATTATTACCCCTAGAAAGCAAGCCGCCAATTGACTAATAACCAGGTTCCTAGTTACTGCTAGGTAAACAGAGGCATGCGGAGTAAGGAAACTAAGGTTTTTTATCCAGGGAATTGTCGGCCAGGACACCAGGCGAGAGAGAGAGCGAGAAACTTCCAGCTCTTTTCCCCGACAGAGCAGCAATCTTTAATGTCCGCTTTAATATCTTGTCGGAAGGACGGTGTCTCTGATAATACGACCTGCTCTCCCCCCAGCTCTGCTGGAGCGTCAGCCTGGACTATATGAGTGTAGGTAATTGTGCTTTGTAGGCAAACTTGACAGCCAATATAGCGACATCCCGGCAAACCGCTATGAAGTGAACAACTGATAACAGGAAAGAGACAGATGCAGAGAGAGAATGAGATACAGAGATTCAGAGGGAGGTAGAGACACACACAGACAGAGTGAGAGAGAGATACAGAGATACACATTAGACAAAGAGTCTACACTGTCAGGTAAAGGGACTTGTGGCTAGAAAATACCTAGAAATTAGTGTATACTTGATCTTTTAAGGGAACTTTCATCTAGAAATTCATCAGTCTAACTTTTCCAGTGAGAATACTGAGTGTATTCCCTTTCTGTATTTTCCAAATAGTGGGAATAATACATCAGGGCCTTGGGACGTCCTCCTGACGTGAAAGGCACGATACAAATGTAATCTTGTTGTTGTATTACAAGTCAAACAGTGAAGTCTGGAATGAGCACTCCGTTTTACTCGGGCAGTGTCATGCACCTGCCAGCAGGCGGTACTATCGCTTTTATGAATAGAAAAGAGTCAACGGGACCTCGGCACGTGTTGCTGTTATTATAATTTGGAATGTCTGGGCAAGCGGACAGCATCCCTAAATACAGAATCATCTTTACATTTGATATAGCACCCATAATGTCTCAAAGCTCCTCACAGGGAAGTGCTGTCCAGTGAGTATCCGTACGCATATGGGGGAAGTATTACACGGTTCAGGAAGCATCTATGAAGCTAATGTCCAGTTAAACTGACGGTTCAACATTTCATCTGGGAAGAAGGCACCAATGACAATGCACCCCCACTACTGCACTGGAGTATCTTCCTGAACAATGAGTTCAAGTCCCGATGTGATGCTTCAACCCACTAACGTCTGAGGCGAGGGTGCTTCCATCGTCTTTCTACTTGAGAAATTTTGGTATCGATACTAGAAGCCAAATAGTTCATGTAAAAATATAAACAAAATAAATATTTAGTTGGTATAAAGCTGTTCTGAAAGTGCTGTCTTGTCTTGAGAATTGTGTTTCTCCTGAACGTGATGCTTCGCTGTGCTCATGAGTTGCCACATTTCGCTCCAGCTCACTGAGCTGTTTTAGCCTCAAAAATGTACGACGTTGAACAGATTTTCCTCAGATATAAAACAAGGTAATTTAAACAGATGGGAAGAGGAAATGGCTTGATGGGTTTCACTGGACAGTATTTTGCAACAAGGTTAATTTGGCAGAGCTGACAAGCAGACTAAGCAAAACAAAATAGTTACAACACAGCACGGTGAACTCCAGAGACCTTGATTAAATCTAATTCTGATGCAATCGCAGAATTCTAATGTAAAAAAACAATTCATATCCACCTTACCCATGCATAACACTGAACTGCAATACCTTGATCCAAGCGTACAATGCTCCCAGAATATGCTGTTCTAATGCTCAGCACATTAACTCCAGTCAGGCCATTGCTGAAGTTGACCTTGTAGCTACCTGATGGCTTGGTTATTCAGTAACTGAGCCCAAGTCTAGGGCAGGGCTTGGGTTTGCCGATCTGATCTGGGGATATACTGTATGGCCCAGATTACGAAGGGCAAAGGCAAACCAGCATTTCTGCTCCTGAGTATTACTACTAATAATAATCCTTGCATTTGATATAGTGTTTCTCACGCCTTCTAGATGTCTCAAAGCGCTTCACAGAATACACTGTAAAGTGAATTGACTGTATATTTGTGTGTGAGATGCGGCAGCCAATTGCGCACAGCGACGTCCACGAACAGTTGTAGATTGAAGTAACCGATTTATTATTTTTTTACTGTGGGATTATTATCAGACATGTGGAGTGAGGAAACTTGCCCAAGGTTTTGCCCTGCCGGGAATCAAACCCAGGTCTCTCGCTTGTGAGGTGAGTGGTCTAACTACTGAGTTACAGGACTCCCATGCTGGAGATGCACATAGTTGGCAGTTGAAGACATTTTGGCCAACAATCCTCATGATTAATTGACCTTGTCGCTGTTTTGGCAGTGCTTGGCTGGAGGAGAGATTACATTGCTTTTGTCTCTAAATTTAGGGATTTTAACCATTAAAAGGCCTTGTTGTAAAGTTTCTGGGCAGGGTAGTTCTATTTAAGTAGATTTTTAAGCGCTCTGGGACACTACCTTTTAAACATGTTGAGATTAAACAGCAAAGGTTCTTTATAACATTTAACTAAATAACATATTGTGAATTTAGTTGCTTTCCTTGTACTTCCTTGAATATATTTATTATAATATCATATATCTCGGGATACAATGTATAGTTTGGGATACGACATGTCAAACGACTGCCAGGGTGTTGGAAGGCGAACTAGATAGACCTTAGTTTTCTTTCGCCGGCAAATTCTTATTTTCTTATGGTCAGATGTTCAGGTCAGCTTGTGCATATGCAACAATAATGTGAAGAAAATTTTTGACACGGGCAGACTTTTTAAATCACTTTTTTTATTGTGTAATTTTTTAAATATTATTGTGATTAAGTGGACTTCAAATAATTGATGGGGAGGGGACTGAGGCAGATAGATTGCTTTGAAATAACTAAGAATAGTTTGGGCTGCACTTGTTCATGCTCTGCTACAAAGGAGATTAAAATGGAGTGAGTCTCTGTTGAGTGCAAAAGCTCTGCAAATTGATTAATAATAATAATCCTTGGATTTGATATAGTGCCTCAAACTTGATATGTCTCAGAGCACGTCACAGAATATGCTGTAAAGTGTAGTGACTGTGTATTTTGTGGGCAAAACTTGGCAGCCAATTACGCACAGCAGTGTCCCATAAGCAGTCAGGAATTGAGTAACCAAATTATCTTTTTTGTATTGATTTTTATACTTGAGCTTTAAGTGTGCTGGCAGGTGCTGCATTTGCTAGGTTTCTATTTACATTTTCACCTTATCTGCCACTACATTTAAGAACTATGACACCCTGCCCCCTTTCCCCTCCAATATGCTATTAGGATTTATTTGGGAAATGACTGGTTGGTTCAAGTAATTCTCAGTAAGACGTTACAAAGGGTACTACAGCATTAAAGTGTCTCTTCATTCTTTGGCTTTGTCAGTACTTCATACGCTGCCTGAATCTCAAGGAATTGTTGTTGTGCTTCATTTAAATTGTGTGGGTTGTGGTCGGGATGCCAGCGTTTCACCATCTCTCTGTAGCTTTTGTTGATATCTTCCCGAGTAGCTTTGTCCTGTAATCCCAGCACCTCAAGGGTAGATATTACAAAAATGTCATTGAAAAAGTTGCAGCACAAATACAACACTATTCTCCTATAAGAAGGCACCTTAAATTCTAATAATAATCCTTGCATTTGAAATAATGCCTTATGTCTCAAGTTATCTTAAAGCGCTTCACAAAATATAATGTAAAGTGAATTGACTGTATATTTTGTGGGTGAAACGTGGCAGCCAATGGCTCACAGTAGGGTCCCACAAACAGTCGTGGATTGAGTGACCAATTTATTATCATTATTTTTTTGAAGGGATTATTACCCCTGGAAAAGCGATCCTGGTGATTGTCACTTGTTATGTATAAAAGGCTATTGCCTGAAATAATTTTTCTAAACAAAAACAACAACTTGCGCTTATATAGTGCCCTCCCCGCCGGGCGGCATCTCAGAGCTTAACAATGGTGGAGCCCGAGGCCGAGCTGGGGGAGGGGGAAGATGACCGTAGGCGCGATCGAAAAGGAAGGTCTTAAGTGCGACCTGAAGATGAGGAAGGAGGGGGCGAGGCAAAGGAGTTGAGGGAGGGAGTTCCAAAGTTTTGGGGTGTAGTAGCTGAAGGCACGGCCGCGATGGTGAAGCGGAGGATTTGGGGGACGTGGAGGAGCCCGGACCCAGTAGAGCGGAGGCAGTGGGTACTGCCTTGGGGAGAGAGGGGTTAGAGAGATAGGCGGGGGAGTGGCAAGGAATGGAGGGATTGAAGTATTTATTTTCTGTTCTCTTATATGTTCTTCATGCTAAGCATCACCTCCAGCTGCACACACAGCTCTCTGGCCTCTACCAGTGTGGCAACAGCATTGTGTGACTTTCCATTTGATTTTCCCCTCTTTCCCTGTGGTATTACCTGTCTCTTCCTCTTTTCCCTCTCCCCACAGTGGAATCACAGAGATTAGCAACTCACCACATATTTGAGAATTTCTGATGTAACCAGCCTATTACATAGTACTGGACTCAAAGTCAAGATGCCTCAGGGAGCTCTCGAGCCAAATTATATCAATCTAGCGCTGAAGAGGCAGCAGATTCAAAGGTATGTTTAACAATAATGATTTATGTGAAGTATAAACATCAGTACGGACTAGTTGAGCTGAATGGCTTGGTTCCGCGCATCTTTACAACTAATATATCACTATATCTCTAAATTGCTTACTTGTATATTAATTCTGTGTTGAATATTATATTGATTGTAATTCTAAAAGATGTATTGTCATTATTATTGTACACTATTTATATCACCAGAAGATTTGCTATGAATGCAGTTTGGGGTGGGTGGGACTGGAGGAAGTCTGGACAGCGATGGAAAGTAATGTTTATCACTCAATTGTTTTCAAGTTACCTCATATGCCAGCTTCTTCCGTTCGGCTTGAATGGTAGCGACAGAATCAAATATCCTGGCCCACTCCTGGTTATACTCGTAGCTCAAGTGGATCCCACCTGTAAGCAGCTTCCACATATGGTATGGGAGCAGGAGTGCGGACTCGAGAAAACCACTGATGGAAGGGAATATCCGGAGCGAGTCTAGGATCAGGCCGATGGTATCTGCGATGTATGTGACAGTAACCGTGGTGTTGTAGAACACGCAGTAGGAAATTGGCATGGTGAACGCTAAGCAAGCTAGCCCCAGTCTGTAGAGACGGACGCTTAGGTTCTCTTCCATGTGGCTCGAAACCTTATACTGACGGCATTGAGCAGAGGTAATAGTGGCAACAATACTGATGGGTATTGTTGCAATGGGTCGTCCGTAGAATATGGGAGATGTAATAATGGAGGCAAGCATTGTCTTCCCAACATCTGAAGTCTCCTCCCCAACATTGGCAACCAGATGAACACCAAGTGTGACTGACAGGGGCAAAGCCAAGATATAGAAACTACTTAACGATGACAGACCTATGAGAGCGACTACGCCAAAGTAAATACCAACTGCTATCTGGCCAAAAACACGGCTCATGTTCATCAATGGTTGTTGACTTTTTTGTCTATTTCTCGAGGGTTTGTTTGAATTTTCGACATACTTTGGTAATCGCCAAAATTCCCTGAGCCACCCTACTCCAAATCCACCAAACGTGACCATCCATAGTAAGGCATGACTATCTCTCCTCAGGTAAACATGATGGAGGCCGAAGAGTCCTCCAAATACCCAAAGGACATAAGTGATCAATAGACTCTTTGCCATCCTCAGGGTGTGAATCAGTTGCCAATGTTCCTGTAAGCTACCATTAATAATGTTCACTTTTGCTGATTGAGGTCGATCATGGAGTTTACATTTCAAACTGAAAGTTCAACAGAGAATTTGATGGGATCATTGCTTGGGTTCATGTTCGGAATATGTCATCGGCCCAGTCCTTCCCTATTGCACCAGTTGAAGAGGGATAAAGCAAACAGGAACTGACTGAATGAAATTGCAGTAACATACATACAGTATATGTATATTCAGTCAATAACAACAACATGCATTCGTATAGCACCCTTCATTACAGGGAGTGTCTTGGAGCACTTAACAGTGGCGGAGCTTGACGCTGAGCTGGGGAGAGGAGGAATGTTTCCGTAGGCATGGTTGAAGAGGAAGGTGTTCAGGTGAGATCTGAACATGGGGCAGGAGGGGGGAAGGTGGAGGGATTAAGGCAGGGAACCGTAGCTTCCAGGCTTAGTGGCTGAAGGCATGTACGCCAATGATGAAGCGGAGTAGGTGAGAGACGTGCAGGAGGCCAGAGCCAGCTGAATGTCGGGGGCAGGCAGAGGAGTGGGGTGTAAGCAGGTCAGAGAGATAGGGAGGTGTCAGTGAGTGACTTGATTTGTATGCGAGTGTGAGGACCTTGAAATTGATCCTTTTCACAATAGGGAGCCAGTGGAGCCTAGCAAAGACCGGGGTGATGGGGGTACAGGTGAGGATATGGGCAGCAGAGTTTTGAATCGATTGGATTTTATGAATGGTGGAGCAGGGGAGTGAAGGGGGTGTTGGAGAAATAAAAGTACAATCCAGATAAGCAAGCTCTGTAGCAACAATATAAATTGTCATTAAGCCCATTATTTGATAGGTCACTGAGAGAAACTATCTTCTCAAATAATGCCATTGATCTTTAACGTCCACCTAAACAGGCAAACTGGGGGATTGGTATAACATCTCATCCAAAGGATAGCACCTCTGTGAGGCATGAAACTACAGGTACTGTGGATCCCACTAACAGGCTGACACATATCAACTGAAATACGATCGCACTACATGACTGGAGTTTTCACTGGTTCTTGATATACAATAATCAATACTTCTATGAAAGGTGAAACTCCCTTAACCAACTGAATTGTGAAGATTCTCACCAACTTACAAGCTTTAAACAATGTTCCATTCTCTCCCGACTTTACATAGGCCCATTAAAGTGGTTGGATCATGCTTTCAATTTCAGGCATAAATTATTTTCTTTTTCGTAAAGTTTACTAAAGAATCGCAACAAATAATCACACACACACACAACACACATACACACAAACACATCAAGCTAAATTTGATTTAAACTGAAAGACATTTTAGCACATGCTTACCAGACAATCGAGCGCAGTCTCTGTGATTAAATCACAGGACTTTACCCCTCAATACTAAGCTTGTATTGACTCAGAGCTGACCACTATTGCGCAAAAGTGTATGAAGCACTAATCTGGTGTTTTACAACCCTGACTCCACTACCAGTGTAGAATATTAACTCCAGGAGGTGCAATACCTTGAGATATTGTTAGATGAATGACTGCAGGGAGATCCCAACACCATGTGTGCTTCAAACTGAATTACTAAAATCAAATCTAAGATTGAAGCTTTGGAGTGCTTTCATTGGAAAACAAATTATATTTTCAGTGAACTTGATATTCTAGGACAAAAAATGTGGATTTTAGAAATTGCATTACTTTGGAGGTGCGGCCTTTTATGGTCAAGGTTCCGTCTGTCTGTATGCTAGAGATGCCTGTTCAAAAAGAAGAGAAAGTTTCTACCAGGACCCTAGCCAAAATGCTCTGGACTACTTGATCATTCACTCCATAGCTGTTGCTGTGACCTAGCTGATGCAAATGACCTCCAGGTTCACCTACAAAAGCAGCCATTGAAAGAATTTGCACGTGAAATGCTTTGGCATGTTAACAACAATAACAACTTGCATTTATATATGCCTATATATAGTGCTGGATAGTTCTTGTAGTGCTTGACCTGAACACTATAAAAATGCTGATTTGTTTTTGAAAAAATAATAATAATAATAATCCTTGCATTTGATATAGCGCTTTTCACGTCGGGAGGACGTCCTTAGAGTTAAAATGCCTTAGAGTGCCATCAGTAGAGCCAACAGCTAAAGCATAATTTCCTCTGTCTCACCAACAATAATGAAAATACATGTAAACTATCTCATAATGAAAATATAGTATCATCAGGCCAAGCTTCAGTGCTCATTGGAAAGATTTTAATTGGAGCTGCCAACAAAAGGAAACCAGGGTAAATAGCTTTGGGAAACAGAAATCAATCTTTATAATCAGTTATTTTAAGGTAAGACAAGAAAATAATGTCTAGAACCAGCAGTAAATACCCCGGATTATTATAACATTTCTAATTAATTACAAGGAAATAGATGCACAGCTACCTTCAAATGCTCAGACAAATGCGCCTGAGAATTTCAATTCATAGAATCATAGAATTTTATAGCACAGAAGGAGGCCATTCAGCCCCTCGTGCCTGTACTGGCTCTTTGAAAGAGCTACCAACTAGTCCCACTCCCCCGTACTTACCCCAACTAGTCCCACTCCCCCATTCTTACCCCAATAGTCCAACTCTCCCCATTCTTACCCCAATAGTCCCACTCCCCCCACTCTTACCCCAATAGTCCCACTCCCCCCACTCTTACCCCAACTAGTCCCACTACCCCCACTCTTACCCCAACTAGTCCCACTACCCCCACTCTTACCCCATAGCCCTGCACATTTTTCCTTTTTAAGTACTCATCGAAATTCCATTCTGAAAGCTATTATTCAATCTGCTTTTCAGATTTTGAATTCCAGACCGTAACAACTCTCTGGGTAAAAAAAATTCTCCTCATCTCCCCTCTGGTTCTTTTGCCAAATATCTTAAATCTATTTCCTTTGGTTACCGACCCACCCACCAGAGGAAACAGTTTCTCTCTGGCTACTCTATGAAAACCCCAATCCTCACAAAAAAAATTCTCTCTCTCTCGACAATATCCTCCTCCAAATTTTCTCCTGAAGATGTTTGACTCCTTTTGTCCTTCCACTGGGGTTCGGTTCCACAGACACCCTTTTGTTTTGGAGGGCCGGGTGTCTGACACCCTCTGATACCTCACCCAAGTTACAATTCTTGTTATAAAAATACTTTTTTTAAATAACGTTTTATCAGATTGAAATGAGATCCATACAATACAATTTTATATAGCTATCACATTGGGAGTACGTCTCAAAGCACTTAACATCGCTGGCTGGGCACCCAAACTGGGGGTGTTTAATATTCAAGTTATTTGAGGCACTGTTCATACATATGAATGTATAAGTAGCGAAACTTTCTGTGCCTCATTAAAACAAGTACCATTGATCAAATTGTACAACAAACAGTTAATGATAAAATACAGTAGTTATGACAGCAGCCAAGATTTTTAAGATTAAGATATTGACTTCTGACAAAATCATCCTTGACATCACAGTGGTCGCAGTCAAGATGAAGCCTGACAGCTCCAGGAAGAAAAGGGACCTGATTGTAATCTGTGTGACCACACTTGTGCAATTGCGATTAATGCCCACACATCGCATTGTGCAGCAATGACTGAAATGTCCTGACACACCACAGAAGAATTTATTGGAATGGAATTTTTATGAAGAGTGAGATACAAGGTACAATAGACAGACTAACAATGTAATCCATCTGTGATTCTTTCGAGTCAATAAACAGGAGAAATGGGCACTGCACATGACGAGCAGTCTGTAGACCCATTTAATTCACTGCAGGATGTTTGTAATTGAGTATTCTTGCTCCATGCCTCACACAATCTCAAGAAACCAGATTAGTTATTTTATCTAACTAAATATTTAAAATTCGATTTAAGTGGACTGTAAATCACCCACAAAATATTCAGTCACTACACTTTACCCCAAACCCTGTGAATTGCTGACGTGAAGGGAATATATATCAAATCCGAGGATTGTTATTGTTATTATTGCTTTCTGGATGCTTTTGTGCTGATAGTGGAAGTGTGTGTGTGAGTGAGAGAAATGGAGGGGGGATGAGACATTGCAGAAAATTGCTTATGTTTCCTCTAGGGTGACATCATTAAACTTTTTTATTGTGTAATAATTTTTTAATATTATTGTGATTAAGTGGACTTCAAATAATTGATGGGGAGGGGACTGAAGCAGGTAGATTGCTTTAAAATAACTAAGAATAGTTTGGCCTGCACTTGTTCATGCAAAAGAGATTAAAATAGAGTGAGTCTCTATTGAGTGCAAAAGCTCTACAAATTTAATAATAATAATCCTTGCATTTGATACAGTGCCTTATCACGTCTTAGACGTCTCAAAGCGCTTCACAGAGTACACTGTAAAGTGAATTGACTGTGTATTTTGTGGGCGAAATGCAGCAGCCAATTACGCAAAGCAGCGTCCCACAAACAGTTGTGAATTGAGTGACTAAATTATTATTTTTTGAAGAAATTATTATCCTTGGAAAAGTGATCTGCCAATCAACTAACAACTGGTTTCCTATTTACTGCTCGGCAAACAGAGGTGCTTGGAGTAAGGAAACTTGCCGAACATTTCGCCCTGCCAGGAATCGAACCCAGGTCTCCTCGCTTGTGAGGTGAGCGCACTAGCCACTACGCTACAGGACTCTATGAATTATTTAAAAAGGTCAGTGAGGGGAGATAGGGAGAAACCATAATTGCTGTTTTGCCACTGGCAGCTTTTAGTGGAATAAAGATGGTTTGAAATTGTGGTTGTTTCTTTCACAATGAAAAATCCCTGCCTTAATCTTCTTCAGATTTTTGTGTTTTAAATTGTGTTTGCCAGAATACCTTTAGTCACTTTCAGAAAATGGATCTAACAAAGCATTCTATGTTCTCTTCAGTGAAAACATTTCATCATGCCATAAAGTATTGTTCAGATTCTGTCACCTATTCCTCACCATACTGTGTGTGCTCAGTCTCTGGGTGGCCACTAGGTAGCATCCTGAACCAGGGAAATGTGATTGTTTGAGTTTCATTTATTCCAAGGACTACTCAAAGTCCTTTGAAGCGTTTATCAGGTTCTCAAATGCACAATAACCCGATGGCTATCTATTTCACTTAGGGTATGTGCTGGGGATGAGTGAGCCTGCTTTTCAACCAAACACAACATAACATTTTTGAAACTATAAAATCCAAAGTTTATAAGCTTGCAAAGCCCATTATACGTGTTTGGTGAAACGCTATACAAATGTAATTTTGTTGTTGTTGTTGGTTCAGATACAAGCAGCTGGTTACTTATATACCAACTTTAAGTCTGTCAGAGTGTATAAAGTGACAATTTCATATCACCACTGTATAACTTGGAACAAATGAGTAACTGACTGACAGACTGATTCAGATTTATCAATCTTAGGTATTGTATTGTATTGCCCCGTTGTATGAATAAAAACAACACTGTCTTCATGCTGAATGGGACTGTGTAATCTCACAGTCTCAACAATTCAGGCAACAGAAATATCCCTTTCTAAATAAGCTCTGATGTTGTGGTAAGCATAGTATTAATTCCTAATGTCTGTTTACTCACTACATCTGAAATGTAATTACTTGCCATACTCTTGCTTCCACTTTTTATTTGTGTGCTATTGCTTCAACTAAGTATGTTCCTTTAAATGGTGACAGAAATGTATCGAACCATTTGCTCAGAAATAAGTGTCTCTATGTATATACAAATTACTCCAATTTTGCATGCTTTCCATTTATCTTAGTTCCTTCTTCATAGATGATATTGAGAATACCATAAATATATTAGATGTGCTACTACCAAATCTTTCACTGTAATCTTTTATGATCATACTTACCAGTTATATCTGTATGCAACTGAATATTTTAAGTTAAATCTAATTTTGAAACAAATAATATGGCGCATCTATATCTAGGCATCAGTTGCTGGAAGAGCTAAGGTGGGAGTTAGAAATGTTTTCACGTAAAGTACTATTAGAACAGGATGTTTTGCCATAAGTTGCAACTTAGACAGATCATAGCATAATTTAAAAGGGACTTGGGTAAATATTTGATTAGGAACACTATAAAATTGTATGAAAAAGAATAGGGATTTAAGGTTAGAGCAGTTTGCCCAGTGAAGAAGACAGACCACCTCAGATAGAACTGAACCGGTCAAATCATATTATCGTGGTATGACCAACTTATCTGGAGGATTGTTTGCCATACACATCAGCGAAACTCCCTTCTCTTTTTGAATCATGTAATGCAATCGTTAATGTCCACCTGATCAAGCAGTTGGGACCCTCGTTTAACATCTCATCTGAGGAATGGCACTGCCAGCAATGCAGTGACGGGCCTCAAAATGAGCTCAAGTGCTGATGTGGGCTT